AAAGGGGGAACTGCAGAACAGAACCAAAATTTCTCAAAGACTTTAGACTTCCTGGAGCTATGGAGGGTGGATGAATTCCTGAGACTGCTGTATCACTATACCAAAAAGAACTGGCTGACACAGAATCAGTTCAGGAAGCAGCATGTGGTCAAGAGCCAATGAAGGTAATAAAGGAAGAAGGTTCAAGGTGTACTGAAGACATTGGCACAAAACAGTGCCCCAGGAATTGATGGGATACCAAGTGACAAGTTTCTACAAACAAATGCAGTCCTGGACTTGCCCACCGTTTATTCCAGCACATTTTGGAAAACAGCTATCTGGCCAACTGATTGGAAGAGATCTGCATTTGTTCCCATTACCAAAAAATGGTGATTAAACAGAATGGAAATTCTTGAACAATATCACAAGCAAATAAAATCTTGTTTAAAAGAATAAAAAACAGCTACAACAGCACATTAACAGAAAACTGCTAGAAATTCAAGCTGTATTTAAAAGAGGTCATGGCATTAGGGATATCACTGCTGATATCAGATGGATCTTGGCTGAAAACAGAGAATACCAGAAGGATGTCTATTTGTGTTTATTGATTATGCAATGGAATTTGACTGTGTGGATCATAGTAAATAATGGGAAAAGAATTGAGAATTGAGATGAATGGGAATCACAGAACACTTAATTATACTTTACCTAGATCAAGAAGCAGTTGTCCAAACAGAACAAGGGAACACTAAATGATTTTGAATCAAGAAAGTTGTGTCAGAACTGTATCCTTTGTCTACACCTACACAACCTGTATGCTGAGAATATAATTTGAAAAGCTGGACTTAATAAGAATGTGGCATCAGATCAGAGGAAGACTTATCAGCTGTGTTATGCAGATGACACAACCTTGTTAGCTGAAAGAGAGGAGGTCTTGAAGCACTTCTAGCAGAAGATCAAAGACTTCAATATGGATTGCATCCCAACATAAGGAAAACGATCTTCACCCCTGGGCCAATAGTCAATAAAATGACAGATGGAGAAGTTTGAAGTTGTCAATGATTTCCTCTTGCTTGGATTTAAAATCTACACCCTTGATAGCATCAGTCAAGAAATCAAAAGTCAAGTTACATTAGGGAACTGGCTGTGAAGAACCCCGCCACGGTGTTGAGTAACAATGATGTCAGTTTAAAGAATAAGGTGCACCTGATTCAAGCCATGGTCTTTTCAATTACTTTCTATGCTTCTGAAAGTTGGACAATGAATAAGGATGACAGAAAAACTGATGCCTTTGAGTTGTGGTATTGAAGAGTACTGAATGATAAAATTACTGGATGGTGAAACTTCACTTTATGTATTTTGGGCATGTTATTAGGAGCGGCTGGTTCTCAAATGGAACATCATTCTTGAGATGGGCTTACATAGTGACCGTAACAATGCGCTCAAGCGTATCAGAGATGGTAAAGAGGGTGCAGAATAGGCCAGGGTTCATACCTGTTGTCTATGAGTTGTGTTTGCCTCAATGGCACCTAGCAGTAACAACAACTGCATTGAAATAACCTTTAATGCTTAAACTAAAAATACCGTTTGAAGTCATCTTCATATTGAACACTAGATTAAGTCAACTAGTAAAAAAGGTTTTGGTGTTATTTTTACATTTTCTTTTTCATTGTGATTTGAGGGAAAGTATAGAAATTTATTTTTCACATTTTGTTCTATAATATTAATCTCAATACTCACAATGTAATCACATTTTTTTTCACTTCCTCTCTGTAATTCTGTATTTTCATTAATCCTTCCATACTTTTGGTGGGAGAAGGATGAGAAGTTTCCTCCTGTGCAATTTACTGTCACTGAAAACCCACTGGTGGGTCAGTTGGGGGTTGGTTCTGACTCGATGGCACACAATAACAACAATAACATACTTCTGTATCTTCCCTTTCTTTAGTGATACTGTGTTGATCATTCCCTTCACTTCACACACAATAAATGCTCTTTAAAGAATTATATACATGGGAGAAAACTGACAAACAGCAACTCAAAAGATCAGACAGGAACTTTATGGGTAGTGAGTTCATATTAATGAGGGAGAAATTATTCAGAGAAGGAAGATGAGCATAGCTCCACCAAATGAAAAATGGAATCAGTGTCACTAAATTGTACATGTAGAAATTGTTGTGATAATGTGTATTTAACTTTGCATATTTTCACAGGGAGTTCTGGTGGCTAAGTGGTAAGGAGTTGTGCTGCCAACCCAAAGGCACATGGTCTGAATCCACCAGCAGCCCATGGAAGAAAAATGGGCAATCTCCTCCCATGCAGTTTAGAGCCTCTGAAAACCTGCTTGAGGGTCAACTATCAGTCAGTTAGGATGCGATGGTAGACAACAACATTTTCAATATCAGCAAGAATAAGCCAAAATTAACTCCATAGAACTAAGAACTTATATGCATCCTCACTTAGAAAAAACACTCCTCTGCTGTCAAGTGGATTCTGACTCATAGTGAGCAGGAAGTATAGGAAAGAGCAGACATACTTCAAAGGGTTTCTAGGCAGTAAAATCTTGGTTCAAACTAGCAACCTTCTGGGAAGTAGCCCCATGCTTAATCTACAGTACCACCAGATCTCCTTAAACATATATAGTGGATAGTAAAAAACCAAATTAACTTCTAATTTCACATTAAAACCAGAAAGCAGATAATTTACTACCCCATTCTCTGAATCATTCTACCTCCAGAAGTCAGAAAAGGAAAATGACAAAATTAATTACTGCACGCAAACAGTGGAAAGCAAATTAAAGTTTCAACAATAGCAGACTGACAGTTTCATGTGACAACTACATCAATTGGTGTAACTTAGTTCATCAAGGCAATGTTCTGCATCTAGTTTGGTAGACAGCATCTGGAGTCTTAAAAGTTCACAAGCAGCCATATAATATACAACCAAACTTCACTTTCCATTTGGAACAAAGAAAGAGGAGAATCAAAAGAATCAAGGAAGAAATCCCTCCACAGACCTAAGCCCCTATATAAACTACAGTCTTATCTATCTTGCCAAAGAAGTAGATGGTACAGGGAAACTTAATGGATGGAATTAAGGCAGGTGGAGTAGAACTGGTGAGTTGAAACATTGCTGTTATGTGCCAGTTGAGTCAGAACTGACTCATAGCTGATTCTAACATCCATGCAGTTGTCAGAGGCTGTAAAATGCATGGGAGGAAACTGTCCATCTTTCTTCAGTGCAGCAGCTGGTGGTCTTAAATCATGTGTGCTGGACTTGGCAGCGTGATCACTTTCCCACTAGGCCATCAGAGCTCCTTCTGACATATTACAGAGCTGTAACTAATGTCACAGTAAAATGTGTGTATGAATTGTTGAATGGGAGTCTATTTGCTATATTAACTTTGACCTGAAACACAATGAAATATAACAGACTATTCATATGGAAGGAAGCTCTGGTGGCTTAGGTGTAAGGAGTTGTGCTGCCAACCCAAAGTTTGAATTCACCAGCAGCTCTGAAGAAGAAAGATTGGCACTCTCCTTCTTTATGACTGATTCATTGTCTCTGAAAACCCTCTCTGAAAATCCACTGGAGGGTCAGCTATGTGTTGGTTCCAACTTGATGGCACACAATAACCTTCACCTGGAATATTAAGCAGTTTGTTAGAAACATGTTTTCTAAGACTAATGATAAGAAAATGATTCTTACATAAAAAATATTAGAAGATTTGTATAATCCTAAGTGTGTTCACACACACATGCACAGAGAGAGAGAAAGATGCATATACACACAGATACACATAACACTGCTGGCTGTAAACCAGAATACCAATAGTATATTCTCTGAGCGATTTAATTGAAGATGATTTTCCTCTTTTAAGAAGCATCTAATGGCTAACCCTGCAGCTATCAGTAAGTAAGCAGATGCACCTAGGGCAAAGCTAAGTAATGAGCTGGCCCTGTCCCTGCTAAAACAATCTAGCAACACTGGAGCCTATGAAGAAAGAGGAAAGAAGGCAGTCTTTCTTAACTAATAAAAAGGTTCTACTACCCTTAGTTGTGGCCAAACACTGCACACTTAAATACCTGCTGGGAGGAGGTGACACAAATAAGAAAAGTGTGTGCTTGGGAGTATAGTCATAAGGCTGTATCCTGTCTACAGGGAATAGTTAGTTGATTCCAGCCATTGCACAGGTAATGCAGCCTTGGTATACTCCCATCTTCCATTTTTAAAAGAGAAAATGCCAGAATTTTTTTTGGTCAAATCTCTCAGTCTTACAATACCATGCAGATGAAACATAACACATCTGAAAGTCAGATGTACCCAAAATCTGCCAGTCTGTAACTCTATATAGTCAAGCAAAGAGAAAGATTTCAAAACAATCATGAGTAAAGAAAGTTGGTGCACCGAAGTGAGTGGATAATGGGAAACACATGGTTGAGTAAGAAAAAAGGTAGGTTATCTGACACCTTCCAAAGTAGAATGGAAAGAGGTTAATTAAGACTTGATATGGAGATACATAGACACAAGTAAGTCACAAGACAGATGCCCTTATACCACTGGACTCTCAGTGAATAGAGGAAACAAGTCTCTAGAACTATTTCTCTTTCTTGGCCTAATTTCTGTCTACAAATAAAACTGTTAGAGACTTACCTCATTTTAAGAAAATAAATTGCATCTGAGTTTTAAACAAATATCATGTAACTTTAACTAGTCTCAGTCTGTCTGGCAGAATTGAGCATCTTTAAGCGCACTAAGGAATTTCAAGTTCTGACTGAAGTTTGCTCCACGAACACTAGTGACTCAATGAATATGTGAATGTTTGTCACTTAGTGGAACAGCAATAGGCAGGTCACTAGAAATGACATCCGCACCACCATCCTCTGGTCCTATCAAATTTGGCTATTATTCCCAAACCTGAAAATTGAATCCCTATAGTCAAAACAGCAGCTATCACAACAACAACAACAACCAAAAACCCCAAACCTACATGTCTTTTAATATGAAAGGAATAAACTTACATTAACAAAATCTCCACCCTGGATCATGAAATCCTTTATGACCCTAAAAGAAAGGGAGAACAAAGACTTCTGAGAGAAAATCCTATGGTTTAGAAACAGAGTCATTATAATTATGAATAAGAGCATCCAGGAGTTGACCTGGCTGCATGAGTTGGTCACAAGAGCAGTGGTCTGAAGCCCTACAGGAACACCTTCATAATATTCACAAAATCAAAAGGCAGATCAAGTGCTTGACATAAATTTTTGGGAAAAGGACCACATGGTCTGCTGCCATGGTTATATAAGAGCTCAACAAGTAGTAGTAATTACTTAACGTTTCCTAGCTCCCATTTCCTTACCTGTAGAAGATAAATAATACTTTTATACCTCACAGGAATGTTAGGAGGACCAGAGAACATAGCTGAGAAGCAACCTCATAAAGTTACCTATTATTGTAAACCACAATGAGACCTTTGAGGTGGGTTAAAAATGGAAACAATGCTACCTACATATTGCCACACTTCCAGCTGGCCAAGACAAACGGATCCTCCTATGATACTCATATATGGGCATTTTAAGAATCAATTATAAATTTCAACAAGACACATTTTATATATATAAAGCCTCCAAGTATACCTGTTCCCCAAATTTACATTTGCCTAAACAAGGTCATGAAAAAGACTGTTGGAATAATGTGTCATTTCTACTTTAAATAGCTAAACGGAATTAGCAGAGGAGTAGAAGCAGAGTTAGAACATTCAGTAAATAAATCTTCAAATCAGTTGCTCAGTCGATAAAAATGTTTCTTCTCAAGATCCAATACTTAGCCTCTGGCTTTACCCCCTTTGATTTGAGTACTTAATCCTCCTCCAAGGAAGGAGTTCCTGCAAGCTCACAGGATGGCTTACCAAAAGCTTACCTGTGGAAAGTGCTCCCTTTGTATCCTATTGGAACTCCATCTTTTCTAGAACCAAAAACAAGATTTGGAATGAGAATAGGCAATCACGGTCTTTCCAGTTTAACATAGACTCCGCTGAAGGTGGCTTTTATAAAAGTAACTTAAGGAAGAGATCATAATGAAAAGAAAGTGAAGCTAGACCTCTGGATTTTTACCATTTGTCACTACTAGCAAGAAGCACTCAAAGTTTGCTGGTGGTTTCCTCAAGACCCTTGGCAGCCTCAAGACACCACTGAGTCACAGACCGTGAACTCAACCTTGTCTAACACTCACCTGAATTCTCCTGTGCAGAACTGCCTGAAAGAGAAGAGTGAACAACTCGGTTATGATCCCACAACGGAGAGGGCATCTAATCTGGGCAGAGGAAGGTACAGATATCACAGCCAACCACCCAGGAGCCAGCAAGCCAGCCGGCATGATCCACTCGCCCAGCCATGCAGACCCACAATATGAAATGACACAGGAGCACTCCAAACATTAACTAGTGGGTAGAGGACTAGCCCAAAGGAATCAGATCTTTCCAGGGTAGTGAGTGGACACAGAGAGAAGGTCAGATAACGGTTCCAGGTTGACTGGACCGGCTTCCAACCTGGCCAATCCGGCAGAACTGGAGTATCTTCTTACCTAAAGTTCTCGGCCGTTTTAGGCACAACATCTGCAAAAAGCTCGATCTTCATGCGGCCAACTTCCTGCAACCGACGAAAAGCAGTCAGAAAACCTAGTCAAAACCCGTGAAGGCTCTCGGAGCAGGAGGCACCACGAGGGAGCCCACCTTCCTTGCCGATCGGAATCACCCGCCTGTCTCCATGATCTAAAGGTTCCTCCTACCTAATTTCTCCACAAGCCGAGCGCTAGGATGGGCAAAATTCATCCTCTTCCTTTCACTTCCCTCACCCCAGCAAAAAGATCAGTAGGTAGTGGCCCAAGTTCACATTCTGGCTTCCCGAGCCCCTGTCCTTAGGTTTCTGACTTCTGTCGGCCTGGCCCCGTGCAATTCCCCTTCCGCTCAGACTTAGGGTGGCAGCAGGAATCTCACCTGGCCGCCAATGCTGACATCAAAGAACACGACCGGGTTGACAGGGCTTGAATTTGCCACCGCCATAGCTGCAACCCGGAAGCAGAAGGGAGAGATCAGGAAATTCGGATCGACCCAACAGCCCCACTGCAGAATTTGCCTTCAGCGCAGGCGGAAGTCCCGCCCCTGACGGGGGCACTCTGGGGACCCCGCGCCTGGAGGGCGGACCCCGTGGTAGGAAGCTCGTTCTTGACCTCTGGTGGTCTAGTGGTTAAGGAGACGTACTGCTACACCAAAGGCAGGCGATTCAAGGTCCAGCAGGTGCTTTTCAGGAGAGAGCTGGGCAAGCTCTTCACTGCGATTTACAGCCTCTTGAAAACCGACTAGAGTGTCAACTATGAGTTGACTGCACATGACAACAACAGTTTTATAAACTTACCTCTGAGCCTCTCAGAGTATTGGGCAGAGGAAGAAAGCCTCTGCTTTTTTTTTTTTTTTTTACAAAATTTTTTAATTGTTCCAGTATATCTTTGCTTTTCTTCCCTTTTCTTTCTTTTAAAATAATTTTAATGAGCATTTACAGAGATTTGGGATTTCCATTCATTCATTGCTGCACTTCTCTCCCCCCCAGCCCTCTCCCCCCCCCAGTTCGCTCCTCTCTTTCGAAAGTAAAAGAAACACTCCTTCCATAGTACACAACCCCCCCCGCACCCCTCCCACCGCCCCAAGTACATTCCACTATGCAACCTTAATTGTGGACTCTTGTGATAACCATAATACCCTATCATACATCGCTTTTAAGTGAATAATTTAAAAGCCTCTGCATTTTATTGCATAAACTCAATGGGCACCTGACTTCTGTGGCTTTACCAATTGCCCTAGAAATTATTTTCAATCAGAATGTTGGGTGCTGGCTCTAAATAATGGCTACAAGTCAGACAACTTTGCAGAAGGTAAGATACAAATGGAAAGTTCACTTTGACCCGAGTCCCATTCTCTTCTTTGAACCATTTTAGGTCATTGCTTTGTCCAGTAACAACTTGCTGCACGAGTATAGCCCAGTTTCAACCAGTTTTGTTTTCTGAAAAATACCTTAGTTTTATTGTCTTTCGATGTTAAGACAAAACCCTCTTAATGTCAGGCCCTTGATAATTTTCATAAGTTGTATTTTGAGAAATGCTTAACAAGGTGCATCTAAGTCAGCCAGAATGGTGTGTATAAACAGGTTTCTTTGATTTTTTTCTTTTCTGACTTTCCTAATTCCTTAAATCATATAAGATAGCTCTTTTTTTTTATTTTTTTATTATTTTGTGTGCGTGTACCGTCAAATCAGATCTGACTGGTACAGGAGGATATTGCGCCTCCTTCTCCGGCAGAGCATCTGGTGGATTCGAACCGTGTTCCTCTGGGATTGCAGTGCAGCTTCTTGCCACTAGGCCACCAGAGCTCCCCATAAGATAGCTCTTTTGACTTTTGTCTCTAACTTCCTATGACCTAGATCAAGGCTAAGGGGTTTGAACTAGGCATTGACACTTAACAACTGTTGCAACTAAAGTCTCTTAACTTTGACACATCCTATTTTCCCCCCTTGCTTGGAATACTTGGAATACTTGGACTAGGAAGCAGTCGTTAGAACAGAGCAAGGAAACACAGCTTTGTTCAAAATAATAAAAATTGTATGCCAGGGATAAATTCTATGAGGAGGAATGTGGCATCAGGATTGGAGGAAGGCTCATTAATAACCCACATTATGAAGAATGACACAACCTTGTTTGCTGAAACTCAAGTGGACCTGAGGTATTTGCTGCAGAAGGTCAAGGACTGCCGCTTTCGATATGAATTGAAGCTCAACATGAAGAAAACAAAGATTCTCACCATTGGGCCAATTGACAGCATCATGATAGATGATGAAGAGACTGAAATTGTTAACTTTAGTTTGCTTGGCTCAGCAATCAACACTCTTGGTACTAGCAGCCAGGAAGTAAAAAGGTGAATTACATTGGGAAAATCTGCTGTCAGAGACCTCTCCATAGTAATAAAGAGCAACAGTGTCAGTTTAGAGGCTAAGGTGCGTCTGATTCAGGCCATGGTCTTCGCTATGTATCAGAGAGCTGGACAGTGAGTAAGGATGATAGAAAAAGAATCAATGTCTTTGAGTTGTGGTGCTGGAGAAGAATAATGAATTTACAATGGACTTCTCGGAGACCAAACAAGTTTGTCCTAGAAAGGGTAAAAGCAGCCTGCTCCTTGGAGGAAAGGATTTTGAAGCTTTATCTGACATATTTTGAGCATGTTGCAAGGAGGGACCAGTCTTTGGAGAGGGACAGCACAAGAGACAAAGACCCTAGATGAGATGGATTGACTCTGACTTGGGTATTAGGGGTAGATGTGTCAGAGACAATGAGGTTGGCTCAAAATAGAGCAGGGTTCAGAGCTGTTGTACATAGAGTTGCTATGAGTCCTAAGTGACTCAATGGCACATAACAACATTACATGACACAAACATTAGTTTGTGAGGTCCCATGAAGGCAAGGACTCTCTGCTTTGTCCATCTTCAGCACTCAGAACAGCCTGAGACATTGAAAGGGCTGCCTCAATACTGAAACCTTCCTCGAAGTCTCCTTCTATAACTGCTTTGAATGGGTTTTCAGCTGGCAACTGTTGGATTTCCAATGGCTGTAAATGTTAAGGGGCGGAGCTTATGGGGGGTTGGACCATCAGAGATAAGTGACCTTTGGGTTAATAGCACAAGGTGCTATGGAGGGAGAATTCTTTGAGGTCAGAGCACCAGATTTTTAGTTCTAGTTCTGCAATAAGATTCTACTTTTATCTTCTCCAATTAATTTTCCACAAATCTCAGTCTGAACAGACTCACTGAGGACTCTCAGGTTTCTAAGACTGTAAATCGCACAGAAGATTATGTGCCCTGACACAGAAGAGGATTGCTGGTGGATTCCGACTGCCAGAGGGAGGTGTGGCCTTTGGGTTAGTGCACCTCCCTATGAACTATTGTTGCTAAGTGCCTTTAGTTAGAACCAACTAACTGACTTTCTAGCGGTTTTTCAGAGGCTATAAATCCCACAAGAGGAGACTGCCCATCTGTCTCTTGCAGAGAGCATTTGAACTGCCTGTCTAGTGCAACTCCTTACCCACCATAGCTCTCTCTCTATGGGCTATGCCTCCAGAACTCCTTCTATACAGGTTAAGTTCTGACAAGTCAAGTATGACAGCAATTCTATGAACAACAGATCTGAACCCTGTCCTATCCTGTGCCATCCTTACAATCTCTGACACACTCAAGCCTATTGTTGCAGTCATGGTGTCAATGTACCTGGTTAAGGATCTTCTTCTTTGCCGACCCTCCACCTTTCCAAGCATGATACGTCTCTCCAGATAATAACTTTTCCTAGCAACATGCCCAAAGTATGTGAGACAAAGCTTTATCATTTCTCCATTAAAGCTGCAACTTCTCCAAGCCATAATTTGTTCTTTTGGCTGTCCATGGGATATTCAGCACTCTTCTCCAACATTACAATTCAAAGGCATCAATTCTTCTGTTGTCTTTATTCATTTTCCAGTTTTCAGATGCATAGCAAGTGACTAAAAAGACCATGGCCTGAACAAGGCACACCTTAGTTTGCAAACTGACTCATCACTCCTCAATAATTTGAAAAGGTCCCTGACTACAGACTTTCCAGTGCAATATTTCTCCTGACCTACCTGGTACTACCAAGTATATTGATTGTGGATCCAAGCAAAATGAAGTTGTTGATAGTTTCAGTCTTTTCTCTATCTTAATGTTGCCTATCAGTTCAGGGGCTATGATTTTTGTTTTCCTGATGTTGAAATGCAATCCATAATGAAGGCTGCAGTCTTTGATCTTCTGAAGCTAGAACTTGTTCAATAACTTTTTTGCTTGTAAATTGTTCCTGTCTCAGAATAAAATAAAATTGCTTACCTACCTTATCTGTACCTACCTGGCCTTGCATTAGAGCTTCAGTTCTAAATAACTTGTCTTGTGGAAGGCTGAGATCTACAATGGGAGCTCTAACTCTACTTTGAACCTTGACATGCATTGCGATGCCATTTGAGTTCTTTCTTGCCATTGAACTAGTCATGTGGTTATGCGTAGAGAAGCTGGAGGGCAAATCTAGGGCAGTATCAAGTAGGTTAAAGCTCCCAGGCAAGTGTAGGGAAGTGAGGAACTTGCCTGGGGTTTCCTTAATTTATCTAAAAAGCCACATATTACTTGATGTAAGTCTTGGGATACTGGCACTGTTGTTGTCGTCTTCTTTCTTTTTAAGTGTTAAAAGTGTTTTTAAATCCCCAACTTTATTTCTTCCCTTAAACAGTTTCTTTTTTAAATTTGATTTTGAAATTGATTCATTATTATACATTTTCTTCCCCCACCCTCAACCTTCCCCTCCCCCGTCAATGCCTCCCTTGTTCCAAACTGTTCTCATACATATAATATATAATCATATATTTTCTGTTTCCTCCCTCATCTGTTCCATTGCAGTGTTCATTATCTATCCACCCCATTCCCATTCCCTCTCCAACCCACCTTATGTGTGTCCTATTTTTGAATAGCAGTGTTATGCAGTGTTTATCCTTTTGTGACTGAAATATTTCACTTAGCATAATGTCCTCAAGGCTCACTCATGTTGTGTATTGCTGTTGTTGTTATGTGCCATCGAGTTGCTTGTGACTCATAGCAACCCCATGTACAAGAGCTCTAAACGCTGTTCTATCCTGTGCCAACCTCACCATCTCAAACACACTCATTCCCACCACTCCACTCACAGAATCGATCCATCTGATTGAGGGTCTTCCTCTCCTACGTGTCGCTCCACTCTGCCAAACACGATGTCCCTCTCCAAGGACCTGTCCCTCCTTGCAACATGCCCAAAGTATGTCAGATGAAGCTTCAGAATCCTTGACTCCAAGGAGCATTCCGGCTTCACCTTCTCCAGGACAAACCTGTTTGTTCTCGTAGCAGTCCATAGTATATTCAATACTCTTCTCCAGCACCACAGCTCAAAGGCATTGATTCTCTTTCTATCATCCCTATTCACTGTACAGCTCTC